ACTCTTCAGCTTGGCATTTAAAGGTCTTCACAATCTAACTAGAGCCCACTTTTCCACGTCCATTTCATTTTACTCCCCTTCACAGTCCTACCTTTTTGTTGATCATTTTTCAGTCATTTCCAGCTGACCCCATTTGGGGTTTTCTTGGCAAAGACACTGGAGTGGTTTGCCATTTCCTTCTCCAGCTCATTTTACAGTGAGGAAACTGAGGCCAACAGAGTTAAGTGGCTTGCCCAGGGCCCCACAGCTCATAAGTGTCTGAGGCCAGATTTGCACTGAGGAAGATGATGTCTGGCACTCTTGGTTGTTGCCCTGTTAGAATTCCCAACTTCCTCCAAGAGTCAACTCATGAAAACCTTTCTTGATCCCCTTAGTTGTTAGTCCTCTCTCCCTCCTCAAATTATCATGTACATATTATTTGTACACATGATATCTGCCTCCAGCAGAATGTAAATTCCTTCAGAGCAGAGCTGGCCTTGTTTTGTGTCCCCAGTGCCTTGCACACAGTAAAAGCTTACTGGATTAGACTGAATCACCCTAATGTATAGCAGCCTTAAGACCAAAATTTTTCCAGGTGATGAGGTCACTGTTGCCTCAGTTTCCTGTCTGGGCATTTGGGAGATTAGAGATGCACTGTGCTGTGGTGGAAGCAGCACTAAACTATGGAGCCCTGGCTCTGTCATTTATTACCTCTGTGGTCTTATACAAATCATTTAACTTGTTTTTGAGCTTGAGTTCTCTCACCTGTAAAATGGCAAAAGCAGCCCTTGTGCTATCTGCTCCACAAGATTGCCATGAGAATCAAATGAGATAATGTATGTAAATAATAATGCTCACATTTACATGGTGTTTTACAATTTAAAAAGAACTTTCCTCACAACCAGCCCCTGTGTGAATGTACGCTGGCCTCTTTGCTATGAGGAGTCTGATAAACAAGTGTTTTAATCCTTTGAATCAGTTTTGACTGGTTTTACATGCACCTAGGGCAGAACTACAGTGACTATGGAAATGGATGTTGTTCTGAAATGAATTCACTTCCAGCCTACTCTATCAGGTTAAAATTTTCTTGGTTGAAGTAACTGGAAATGTTTAGCCTGGAGAAAAGAAGAGTTAGGTGGGGGTGGGGACTGGGGTGATGGGGTGGCATAAAGCTGTCTTAAAGTATTTGAAAGGCTGTCGTGTGGAAGAGGGATTAGATTTGTTCTGTTTGGCCCCACAGGGCAAAAAGGGGAGCAACCAAAGAGGAGACAGAGGCAGAATTTCAGCTCAGTGTAAGGTGAAACTTTCTAATAATGAGAGTTGTGCCAAGGGAAAGGCTTCTCTATGACTGGAGGTTTCCAAGTGGAGGCTGCATGACCAGTTTTCTAGTGATCATAGAAGGGATTCTTTTTCAGGGACAAGTTGGCCGATATGGTTTCTAAGGTCCTTTACAACTCTGAGATACAATCTAGGTATAGATATAGGCAGCGCTTTTGTTTTTCCTGCTATTTTGAGTATGCTAGTCAAGGGAATTACCTAGTTCTAACCCTGCATGGTTAACTGAAATATGGCTGTTCCAGCAGTCCCTCCCACTTTGCCTTGACTATAATGGTATACGGCTTTTAGTTTGGTCTTCATTTCAACAAAAATGAGAAAAATGTATTTGGAAACTTGATCCGCAGGCACTTTTCTCCCCTTATTGCTGGGTTTACATTTTCGATGTTAAATCACTGCATTCTCTTCTTCAATGGAATGGAATTTAGTTGCATCTCTCAGTGACATGGAGATTTGCTGGGGTTTTTTATTTTAATTTTCATTTCATAAACACACTTAGCTCTGCAGCCTATGCATTTAGGGGCTTAATGCATTTAATCAGAGGCCACTGGTTTCCTGAGGGACCATTTGAAATAACCTCGAATGCTTTTATTTTGTTCTGGATTTACCTTGTTTGAATGGAAGGAAATGGGATTTCCATTCAGCATAGATCTCGCGTGGGATTTATATCCCAATGATCTCAAAACACGTAAATTTCATCTCCGATGTTCTCCTAAGTTTTATTTTCCAGAACCTATCTTGTAATAAACAAAATAAATAATTGAAGCCTTCTTTATAATTCCTTACACAAAGAAAACACTGTATAGAATATGTGCAAAATGACTGGAATCATTATTAAATAGTTTGGGATTTAGTTCCCTAGTTTTACATCTAGAAATTTGACTTAAATATTTACTGAGTGCCTACTTAAGTACTTAGAGGGGGTGATGCCTTTCTTAATGAGAAATAATATCCACCACATTTCAATACCACTTAAGATTTGCTTTCTTAAAAAAAAATTTGTTTTCTTCGCAACAATCTTCTGAGACAGGTGGTGCATTATTAAACCCATTTTCCAAATGAGGAAATTAAGAAGTTTGGGAAGTCAAGTGACTTGCTCAGAGTCACACAATTCATAAGCATCAGAATCAATATTTGAACCAATGTCTCTTGACTCCAAGTCCAGTGTTCATTCTACTACTTATCAAGGAGCCACTCAGAAATCAGCAGTCAAGAAGCTTAAATTTTATAGGAGGGAGATAAGGGAAATAAACAAATAATTATGGTACCAGATAGGATGTGATAGGTATACCATCAAAGACAGGTATAAAGTATTATGAGGGAGAAAAGAACCCACTGGAGGGTGGTGAATCAGAATTAGAGTATATGGTTCCTTTCTTCTTCACCACTCAATTAGCCACTACCATTGTTCAGACATTTATCACTTCTAGCTTGTAAGACTCTCCACATTGTTTCATCTTCACCAAGAAATGAAAGTGGAAGGGTAGTCCATAAAATTAATCTATCAGCACAAATGTCCTGGAAGTGGCATCACCTCCTAATAGCAAGGTACCTGAAGGAGAGACAGGAGGCAACAGGTGCCAGGCAAATTAGATCACTACCACCACCTGAACACAATTTCCTCTTAGACCCTGAAGGAGACTCTAAGACCAAGAACCCTGGGAATTTTCCTGACCCCACAGCTACCTTTGAGGGGATAAATAATTATAGAGAGGGGTTCCACCTTCCTCATCACCACCAGAAACAATTGCTACTAACTGCTACCAACAGTCAGATAGGCACAAGAGCCCTGGAAGTGTCTTCAATCCCCTAAACCCCACAGATCACCAGTTCTGCTATCATACCCCAGCCTTCACACTCATCATCCAATGAGGCAACTCCTATGGAGAAGGGGCCAATCATCCTTATCAACCGACAACCAACTGCTACACACAGAGCCGGCAAGCCAGCCTAGCTTACACAGCATGGCACCCTAAGGGAGAGACAGGAGGCAGCATTTGCCAGGCATGTCAAACCACCACCATCACCTTGACCACCATTTCCCTTTAGATCCTGATGAAGAGAGCTCAGGACCTTGAACCTAAGAGACTTCAGAATAACAATATTTTCAAGCCTTGTGCCCTCAGCCATCATCCCTGGAAGAAACTTCCATGGAGATGCAGCCTGGCAACTGTTCCTGCAGGTGCTACATTTATAGCTACCGAAGACCCAGAAAATAAAGTTCTTGCCACCAAAATCCTTGGCGCTGTCAAAAGGTTGAACATCAGAAACTGACATCATTTTATCAGGGGAAATGACATTAAAGAGATATTAAAGACATTAACACATACTTTGTTCCCTAATGACCATGGAACTTTTCCATATTTCCTGCAGTTGGAACCTTCCAGAAGTGGTATCTCCCCAATTAGAATGATAACTTTCCCAAGAGTAGCAACTGTCTTCTTTTTCTCTTTGTAGCCCCAGTGCTTTGCACATAGTAAACACTTACTACTTAATATTTAATTCTTCTTTCCTTCATGTGTGGCAGATGGACCAATGAGGTGAAACTAGATTTGAATAGAATGAGGGCAATATCACACAGGCAGAGTTTTGTGTCACTTCTCATGATCCTAAGCTTTGCTTTGCCTTTAAAGCCCATTTTTAATGCTAAAATATTCACCTGGGAGTTTTCTATGCCAGTAAAATCATAGTTAAATGTTATTAATTATTATATAAATCATATGAATTGTATTATACTATTATATTAATTGTATAAATACCCACCTCCACATAAGTAAGTCTTAGAGACAAAGCAGCTTAGTTCCTCAGGAACAACTTGCTTAATATAGGTAGCTTGCTTTATATAAACACAACTTTTATTTCTTTTTTTTAAAATAAGCTTTTACTGATGTATTTTTTATGTCACCATAGTTTCCCGTAGTATTCTATTCCCTCCTCTTCTTCCTCCCAGAGAACTATGCTATCCGACAAATAGCATTTTTGAAGATTTTTTTTAAAAGGAGGAAAAAAAATCTGTTCAACTGATCAATATATTGAAAAAGTTCAAAAACATGTGCAATGTACAACACCTATGGACCTCCAACCACTGGATTGGATTCCTCTTCTTTCAAACAATACTAAACATTTGACTTTAAAAAAAAAAAGCAATTACACATATCTATCTACTGCTGCCCATTTCAAGTGCCATGGAAGGCCTCAACTGCCATTCTCAGTAACAGAACTACTGGAAGTCAAAAGTCCCTTGTTCATCTCTGCTAAACTGGAACCCCAAGCCCTGTGGCTGAAGCCTTCCTTCACTGCTGCCTCAGAAGCAATCCTTGGAGAGGCTCACAGTTATTAATTATATATTTCTTTACAGGTCAAGTAGACTTTGGGGACTTTTACCTAGAAATCATTATTTATAAGACTGTTTCCATTGGAAAATACATCTTGACTTCTAATTAAGTAGTATGCTAGCAAATTTTCAGAACACAACTGATTCATAAGCTGAATTATGATTTCCACCGGGATTTCTTTGTGTTTTTCTTCAATGAAGACATTTTAATATTTCTGTTTTAAAAAGAAGAGTCAAAGTCTAGTCCATTAGGGCAACAGAATCTTAAATTAGATGCTCAATTTCTTTGAGCATCTTATTTTTTTAAAAAAAATTAAGTATCGGCACGCTAGTCCTCTACCTTTCAGCAGAACGCTTTGCTCTTCTCAGGGTTTCTTACCTCCTCTTCTCGTCCAAATTCACCATGACCTTTCCCAAGCAGCTGCTGGGCAGGTGGCGCCTCGTGGAAAGTAAAGGATTTGACGAGTACATGAAGGAATTGGGAGTGGGGATGGCCCTGAGGAAAATGGCCAGAATGGCCAAACCAGATGTTTATATCTCTGAAAATGGGGGTGTAGTTACCATTAAGACTGAGAGTACCATAAAAACTACACAATTCTCTTTTAAACTTGGTGAGAAATTTGATGAAACCACACCCGATGGCAGGAAAACTCAGACTCTTTGTACCCTTGGCATGGGATGGGAAGGAAAGCACAATAACAAGAAAAGTAGAAGATGGAAAGCTATTGGTGGACTGTATTATGAACAATGTGACTTGCCACAGGGTCTATAAGAAGGCCGAGTAAAGAAACTCCATCTTCATATGGGACAGGAATTAGCTGTTATGAATGAACCAGCTCAGCTCAATGAGCTAACTCTCCAACCAAACTTTCTTGCTTTTTTCTTCTTCTCTTCTGTACTGTGGTCTGTTATCAGTGACTGACTACTTGCAAACAGTTTTATTTCCAAGCTTTGATGTAATTAGGATTGTTTTGGCTAGTAAATAAAGAATTTTGCTGTTATTTTAAAAAAAATTAGGTATCTAATAAAATGTTTTTTTAAATAATAAATTTAACTGTTACTATTTTAATTGTGAAATCTCTGACCAATGAGTTGATACACTACTGAAGAACACGAATAGAATTAAGAGAAGAATAGGCTACAATGGAAAGTGCAATGGGTTGGAGGCAGAGTACCTGGGTTTTAATTCTAGCATGAGGATATACTAAATTACTTGTGCAACCTCAGGTAACTCACTTAATCACCTCCCTATGCCTCATTTTCCTCATATTTGAAATAAGGGCATTGTACCAGATGATCTCTATGGTCCCTTCCTGCTCTAAACCTATGGTCCTGAGCATATCTAACAATGATGATAACAACAAAAGTTCATTAAATGCAAATTCTGTACTAGGTGCTGTGAGAGATATAAAGAATGAAAAAAGACTTAGTTCCTGTCCTTGAATAGTTTTGTGGAATAATAGCAGAGATAATACATGGATACAAATAGCTTTAAAATGAATTGGAATATGATAGATGTATAGAAGTATGTACATATATGCAGCAAGACATCCAAGGAATGAGTGACTCTCTATGGCAGATGTATGTGTGGGGAAATGGAATCAAGGAAGGCTTCTTGAAAAGGGGATACTTGAGTGGTCCTTGAAGGATGGGAAAGAATTTTAGCTGGCCAAGTAGAAGTGGGGAAGTACATTCTAGGCATGTGAGATGTCATGAACAAATATAAGAAAGGGACAGCAAGAGATTTAAGAAGAGTGGATAGGTCAATTTGGCAGGAATGAAAACTGAAGAGGTAGGCCAGCTGCATATTATAGAGGGCTCAGAACAATCAGACTAAGGAGTTTGGAGTTATTTGGTAAATACTGTTTACATACTGGAGAATTTGGAGGAGGAGAGTTATCCAGTGAAAACCATGTATTAAGAAGATTATTTTTATAATAAGCATGGAGGGCAGATTGAAGAGGGGATAGATGAGAAGCAGGGAGAGCCATCAGGAGGCTATTGTAATAGCCCACAGGAGAGGCAATGAGGGCTTGAACTACAGTCCTGTCAGCAAGAATAGAAATGCAAGAAAATAGCCATGCATAATGCAAAAGAAAAGAACATCATATATCATGTGACTGTCCCATTTGTAGTAATGAGGACCCCTTTGTCCATGCAAGAAACAACCAATGAAGGAGTCTGGCACAATGGTTTATAGTTTATTATAAATGAAAGAAAAGCAACTCCTTTCTCAAGAGAGAAGACAGAACCCAGGTTGTTTCTATAGCGTATGGAACAAGAGATCCTTCTGTGGTCCATTGCATTGTTAAGAAAGAAGGCAAGCAGTAGCTTCAAGTTCAAGTTACCAGCCATTGAGGGGATAGTTAAAACCTAAGGTGGTCTTGCTTTTTGTAATGAAACTAATCCCTAGAAGCACTTTATAGTGGAAAACTAATACAAACCACAGATAATAACTTTGTAGTCAAAGCTTGGATATAAAGAAACCACACTGGTGCCTCGCTGCCTATTGCAGTAAGGCCAAACTCCTGTGCTTGGCTTTCAAAGCCTTCATTGGCAGGATTCATTCTACTTATCCCACTTAATTTGCCATACTACTCTTCCAAACACTGTTTTCTCAAGTCAAGCCAAGTTTACTCATTGTCCAAAAAATACACCATACTCCTTTCTTCCCTAATGCCTAGGCATACCCATCTTCCCTCCCAGTACTCTCCCACTTTTCATATTCTCCACTTGCCATGTGGACCAGAATATTGTTTTCCCCTAATGTAAGCCACACCTCAAAATGAGATTTATTTTAAAATAAAAATTTACATATATGTTGAAAAATAACACTGATTATAGGCCACACTCAGAATCATAAAATCATAGAATCAAAAGGGATCTCAGATATTAGTATTGGTACAGTAGAAGGAATGTGGATTTTGTTTTGTTTTGTTTTTAAAACAATTTTTTTAACATTTGTTTTTAAAACTTTGGATTCCAAATCCTGTGTTATCCTGATTGTGTTTCCACAATACTTCAATTGTTTCTTTCTGATTGCTTGCAATATTTTCTCCTTGACCTGGGAACTCTGGAATTTGGCTACAATATTCCTAGGAATTTTTCTTTGAGGATCTCTTTCAGGAGGTGATTGGTGGATTCTTTCAATTTCTATTTTGCGCTCTGGTTCTAAAGTATCAGGGCAGTTTTCCTTGATAATTTCTTGAAAGATAATGTTTAGGCTCTTTTTTTTTTTTGATCGTGGCTTTCAGGTAGTCCAATAATTTTTAAATTTTCTCCCCTGGATCTATTTTCCAGGTCAGTTGTTTTTTCAATGAGATATTTCACATTGTTTTCTATTTTTTCATTCTTTTGGTTTTGTTTTACAGTGTCTTGATTTCTCATAAAGTCACTAGCTTCCAATTGCTCCGTTCTAATTTTTAAGGAAGTATTTTCTTCAATAAGCTCTTGGGCTTCCTTTTCCATTGGCCAATTTTGCTTTTTAAGGCATTCTTCTCCCCATCAGCTTTTGGGACCTCTTTTGCTATTTGGGTTAGGATATTTTTTAAGGTGTTATTTTCTTCAGTATTGGGTCTCCTTTAGCAAACTGTTGACTTATTTTTCATGATTTTCTTGCATCCCTCTCATTTTTCTTCCCAGTTTTTCCTCTACTTCTCTTACTTCTCAAAATCCTTTTTGAGATCTTCCAAGACCTGGGACTAATTCATACTTTTCTTGGAGGCTTTGGATGTAGGAGCTTTGACTTTGTTGTCTTCTTCTGCTTGTATGTTTTGATCTTCTTTGTCACCAAAGAAAGACTCTATGGTCTGACTTTTTTTGTGAGGTTTGCTCTTTGTTAAGGTAGGGGTCTGCTTCCAATGTGGAGAATGTACTGTCCCCAAGCTTCAGGGGTTTTGTACAGCTGTTTTGAGAGGTACTTCTAGGGACCCGTAAATTTTCAGTTCTTCCAGGGTGATATAATAAGGAGCAAGGTGTTTACTCCTTTCCTGGCCTGTGATTTGGTGTATGAGTGACCACAAACACTCTTTTCTGCCCTGGAACTGTGAGGAGGTTTCCTTCTGCACCACCACTACAAGCTCCACCACGCCAGCACTCCTCCTTGCCCCAGGACTGCCACCCAGAACCCTGACCCAGATCCAAGCACGGGCAAAGTAAGAGAAACCTGTACCAGCAGAGAGATCCCTGCAATCCCTCTCTGATCGGCCACTTGATTTCCCCTCAATCTGTGGGCTGGAAACTCCCAAAACAGCTGCCACCCCAGGGCTGCTCATGGGGACTGGGACTAGGACCAAGCTTCTCTCTCACCACAGTCACAGACTTTTCCCACTGACCTTCTAAGTTGTCTTTGGCATTCATGGGTTGAGAAGTCTGGAAACCACCACAGCTGCCTGTGATTCTGTCCTCTGAGGCCTGCTCCAGGTTCACTGAGGCCTGGTCTTTGCATGCGCATGCACCCATACCAAACTGCACTCCTCTACCTGCCCGGCACAATCTACCTTTTTGATCAATCATCCAGATTGTCTTTGGCTGGAAATTTGCTTCACTCTGTCTTTTTGTGGGTTCTGCTGCTTTAGAATTTGTTTAGAGCCATTTTTTACAGGTATTTGGAGGGGTTTGGGGGAGAGCTCAAGGAAGTCACTGCTTTCACCCTGCCATCTTGGCTCTGCCCCCAGGAATGCTGATTTTGAAGGCAGAAGACCTATGTTCAAAACCTAGCTCCGTTACTTACTACAGGGGTGACCCTGGGAAAGTCACTTCTCTCTAGGCCTCAGTTTTCTCTTTTATTAAATAAGAAGCATGGGACAGATGTCCTCTGAAGCCCATTTTAGCTCTAAATCTATGGCTGTGTGATTCATCTAGTTTAACTCATACCAAAGCAGGAATTACCTCAATAATATTCCCAACAAGTGGTCATCCAGCCTCATACTGAAGATTAATTACAGAGGCAATCCCAAGTTTGTCTTTCTAACAAGCTGAAATCTGCATGTTTCCAACTTCCACCATTGCTCCTAGTTCTGCCTTATTTGCTACCCCCACTCTCTACCCCACCCCCAATAGGCTTTTTGTAAAATTCAGATGCACAGCCTATATCTGGATCAATAAAATATACTTTGATAGATCTATGACCTCATTAGTATAGGTATTCTCCCCAACAGTATAAATCACAAGGCCATCCATGCTTTCTTTCCTTGGATGATTCCTATATCCCTTCATAAATCAGCCATAGAGGACTTGCCTAATTCACTGGAAACCTTCTTCTGGTCTTTTAATATTGTGGACATCAGAGTAACCCTTGGATTGTCTCCCTTTGATACATGACTGACCCACCTCCTCTTCTAGTCCATGTATGTCCTCGATGATGTCCTTTAGAAAAGGGTGATTGTAACAGATATCTAAAAGACATCATCATTGATGATACCTTACAGCCCACTTATATCCATGATATATCTTTCTATTATATTTAGGATCACCAACAATTTTGATTCTTGTAAGATCACAGTGCTCTAAAATTCACAACCACATGGTATCCCTGGGAGCAATATTGGTGTTAAAATGATATCATTCTTATCTTTTGTGGCATTCCACGATTCACAGGTATATTACATTTCTTGGAGGGGGCCATCTCCAGTCATCCTCATCTATATCTTGCCACTGGGTCCAGATGCTTCTGGAGGAGAAAGTAAGGTTGGTGACTTTGCACAGCCCTCTTTCACTTAAACCCAATTCACCAATTCATGGTCCTCTTCAAGAACAAAGGGAAAACAACAACAAAAACAGTATTTCTTGGAGTACAGGGATAGAGACTAGATCTACGATTTCATTTGTATAGTAAATTCCCAGATGAGCACACTGACATTTGAAAAATGGGCTGTTGGGGCAGAGTAGAGTCTGGGATCGTGGAACACAATTCACCTAATGTGATCTAGTCTTTGGCCTATTCAATCCTAGGCCCAATCCACTCTCCATCTTTAGCGTACGTTCAGGATATGTGCCTTGATG